CAATTATTTGGTATGGATGGCACTAGTAATTTCAAAAGCTTCTTTTACGGGAGTAAATTTGGCAATCATGTTGCTTCAATGAGATTGTTGCTATACTTAAAAAAAAAGCTGTACTAACTATATTGTTGCATGTGTTCTATAAAGGAATGATTTTAGATTAGTTTTAGCCAGAAATAAGCAATATATATGTATGTCTATGTGTGTGTGTGTGTGTGTGTGTGTGTGTGTATAGCTATTGGTATATCATTGATATATAATGGATGGAAAGGGACCATACGATTTGTCAATTTTTTTTTAGGTTAACTAAATGGCAACCTTGCACTTTTCACTATGTCTATGTCCCAAGCATTGCTCTAAAACTATAAATTGCAGAATAGTTTTAGGTATGTATTGGCAGATACAGTGTCTTCCCTGGAGTTCTCTATACCTGTGAAATCATAGGCCCAGATTAAAATGAAATAAAATAAAATTACAAGCAACAATAGCATTTATTTGGTTTAATATTTTTCCTGTGTAACTTGAGGTTTTAAATATAAAAAAAGGAAAAGCCTTCTGTTGACTGATTAATGACATAATGAGGTTTTTGGGAGCCTCTTTCTGAAGTTATCTTTGGCATTCATAACATACACTCTCCACTTATGCAAGACCATCTGATGACAAGGTGGTTTTAGTTGTCCTCCATGCCTGGCATAAGTGCCTTCCTCACCTACCCCTCCTTCAATTCTTTAAAATTCAGTTCAAGTGCTGCCTTCTACATGAAGCCTTTTCTTTCTCCTCAGCTGCTTGTATCCTCTCCCACAGAAATCACCTTGCATTAATTTCATATGCATTTTGTAATTCTTTATATATGTGTATATTATTTCCTGTTATAGAGTAAGGGTTCGTTTCATATTTGTATTAGCTCTCCAGCACACAGCACAGTGTCTGTCCCATAGCTGGTCCTTCATAAATGTTTACGATTGGTTAATTCAACTCCTGGTCATAGGATCCAAGGAAAACCTACCTTCTCAACATCATCTCCTCAGTAGGTAATAAACAAGGTTTTGAGACAGAGAGCTCAGCAATGTTAATGAACACTGTTCCTAGAGTCAGAAGACTTAGATTGGAGTCAAGGCTTTGAAATTAACTCTGAAATCCTGAGCAAATTATTTGACTGGTCTCAATTTTCTTATCTGTAAAATGGGGGAAGTAACATTTATACTATCTTCAAGACAGGGTTGTTTTGAGGAGGAACGTAATGTGTATACTGTAAAGTCATTTGATTAAATATTTGTTGCATGAATGAATGACTTCAGAATTCTAATGCTAGTTTTATACATGTATATATAAACATATATATATATATACATACATACACATACATACACACATATATACCTACATACACATAAAATGTACTTCTAAAATCGCAAATCCAAAGGAAAGAAGAGAATTATTCTGGTTTCTTAAATGTTAATTTAATTGAACAAACTAGAAGGCAATGTAGTATCTGAAATCACAAGACCCTGTTTGAATAAAGGTTCTAATGCTTACTATCTGAGTGACTTCAGGAAAGTCATTTAACCTCTCTGAACCTCAGACTCTTCATCTGTAAAATGAGCAGGTTTGACTGGATGATCTCAAGGTTCCATTAAAGCTCTAAATCTATTATTCATTGAGTTTGTCCTACAGCCAAGCAGAAAACCAACTAGAACTTTCATGCCCTTTTGCCTCGTCTTCCTAAAATAGCACAGCTTGGCCAACATGAAGCCACTACACTTTAAGTGGGATGATGTTGGTCACCTGGCTTGTTTATAGAAAAAGAAAAACAGAAAATACTGAGTGACTTTCAAACCTACTAAAATACTCCCCATCTTTTCTTGGTGACTGGCTACTAGAGCATTGCTTGTAAGCTCTAGCACCCTGGGCATCCCTGTAGGGTGGCAGTAGAACACATTTTATGTCAAGAGGTGCCATAGCAGGGAATATAATGCCAACCTTTTTGGACTCAGTTCCATATCCTTATAGATCTCAGGCTCCCTTGCTCTATATTTTCTTCTTCTTGCTTCTCCCCGCCCCCTTCCTTTTTGCATTAAAGAATATTTGTGCCCCCTAGAAGGGAAATTCAGAAACTTTGTGGATTATTGATGGTTCTATTCCCCAACCATTTACTTCTTACGTTGTCTGAATAAGTGCTTGAATTAGGATCAGTTCACAGCATTGATTTGTCACTTCATGCTCACATAAAATATAGGTAAGAAGACAAAGAAGGCAGCATGGGGTAGATAGGAATGAGCCATAGACTAGTCCTGGCTGTCACTTAATAAGTATATGATTTGGAAAAACTCACATAGTCTACATGAGCCTCAGTTTCCTCATCTGTAAAATTAGTCCAAGGCTAATAACACTTGGACTATCTCCCTCAGGAAGTACTAAATTAATGTTAGTGATTGTGATGACTTAATAGTTAAGCTTAATATATACAGAGCATTCAACCTTCAACCTTTCAAAAGAAACCTGGACTCAGTCTAAGTACTCAAGAAAGAATTTCTGAATTGATAACAGTTCACAAAATGCTTCCATGTGTAGAGAACCTATATACCTCGCATTACTTCAGGGATTCTTAACAAGGTGTCCGTGAACTTTTAAAAAAACAGTTTAACAAAAGCATTTCATTATAATTTGTTTCCTTTGTAATCCTATGTGTTTAATTTTAGGCATTTAAAAAGATTATTCTGAGAAAAACTTCACAAGACTTTCAAAAAGGTTCATAATACAAATAGGTTAAGAATTCTTATATTTCATACTAGATGAGAAATAGTATGTTTGTCTCCTGACCTGCATGTGAAACAATGAGGTTAGTATGCTGCTGCTCTTGTTCTACAGATGATTTTATTCATGTCATTAACTTCTAAGGATGGTCCTCACCTTTCCCAGCCTCTGCACTAGCAAATGCTTTCTCTTCCCACACCCACCCTCACTCTCTGGATCAGAAGTGCAACTAGGAATTCTTGGACCTAGGGCCGAGGGTTGAAAAAAAGGAATAGGCTTTGACCACACCTACATGTAAGTGAGAAGCTGGAGACAGAGGTCATGGGAGTTGAGGAGGCTGAGGGACTGTGATATGGATGATAAAGCTATCAAAGAAGACTTAGGAGTGGTCAGACAGGTAAAAGAACCACTAGAGAACTGTGACATGAAAACCCAGAGAAAAAGCATCCAGCAGGGAAGGGCACTCGACAGTGTCAAATACTGCCGAGAGATCAAGAATGACAACTGAGAAAAGATCAGACTTGTCAACTAAGAGATCACTGGTAACTTCATAGGGAGCAGTTTTAGTTGAGTGATGAGGTTAGAAGCCTGAAGGCAAAGGGTTGCAGAGTGAGTGAGACTAGAGGAAATGGAGGCCCACAGCATATCAGCTTTTTCTAGTAGTTTGTGAACGGAAGGAGAGAGGAGATGCCTCCCGAGAAGATGGTCAAGTCTGGTGAAAGTTTTAAAAGTACTAGATGGAAGGCTCTCTTCTGAACAGCAGGGATGCAGCGAGAGTGCTGGTGGCGGTTAGAAGTAGCTGCCCAGCCGGTAAGATGTAAAGCCAGTTTGGGGATATGGTTTGTAAAGAAGTTCATTTTAGGGTTATTTAGTTCAATTCAACAAATATTTATGAAATGTCAACTGTTTCAAAGGGAAGGTGTTAGGAACTGGTAATAACAAAGAAAAAAAACTGATATGGTCGGTACCCTACCACTGAGCTTAAATTTCATTTTAGTGGATACAATGCCACAACCATAAATATAACATCTACTACCAAGTTAAGAGAGAGTGGCCTAGAGAACCAGCAGCCCACTAGCTACTGGGGAGATTAAAGCTGTCTTTGAGGAGAAGGTTGTGCCTGAAGCTGTGCTTTGAAGGAAGTTAGGAATTCTATCAGACAGGAGGGAGGAAGGAGTATAACCTAAACATGGGACATCATTTGTGCAAAGGCAAAAAAAGTGGGAGGTGGAACACTTGGTGTAGGGGAACACGTAGGGGTCCAGAATGACTAGAACTTAGGAGTAGGCAAAAGGGGTGTAAAATGAAATAGACTGGAAAGGTCAGCGGGAGCCAGCCTGTCTTTGGTTCAGCCAGATGTAAGTAAACCCCACTGCTCAGTACTTGCAACGATCCTGGTCCTGTCCACTCTGACATCTTGTGAAAGAGGCAGTGAGGCTTATCTAAAAGGGCAGTGAACTTGGGGTCAGGAAAGAGCTGGGCCCGACTCCTGCCTCAGAGTTTTCTCGCATATAAAGCGGGGATGGATGCTCATACCTGTGCCCTGGTCCTCAGAGATGGTGTCAGATAATTATGTGAAGCCCTATAATAAAAGTGTGCTGGGGACGATGATTTCGCCCCGTTTCTTCTCCCCTCTCGGGTGGCTTTTCTTCCCCGGACTTGCCCGTGGGGTGGGGGTTTCCCTCTCGTTCCATCCCCCTCCCCCCAGCCTCACACCCCCGCCCGGGGCCATGCTCGCGCTCGCGCCCGCTCCTCTCCCCGCCCCGCTCCGGGGGCGCGCCCCCAGCCAAGAGCGCCTCGGATCGCGCCCCCCCACTCCCCTCGGCCCCCCCAGAACCCCCCCCGTGGCGGCCCCGCTTCCCGCCCGCCTCGTGCGTCATGACGCCAGCGCCCAACGCGGAAGCCGCTCTCGGCGCGCCTGGTCCAGCCGCGGGCTGAGCGAGCAGCGAGCGGGCGGGAGGACACGGACGCGGTGGCGGCGGCTCCTCCTCGGCTGCGGGGCCCCCACTCCGCGCGGGCGCCCGGCGCGGGAGCCGGAGCGGGAGCGGGCGGAGGCGGCAGGCGCGGGGCCGGCATGCGGCCGCGGCTCCCAGCCGGCGGCGTGTGAGCGAGGGCGGCTCCCCGGCCTCGGCTGCGCGGCGCGGCGCGGCGCTGGAGGGGACCGAGGCGGCGGCGGCCATGGCGACCCCCGGCAACCTGGTGTCCTCGGTCATGGCGAGCAAGACCAAGACCAAGAAGAAGCACTTCGTCGCGCAGAAAGTGAAGCTGTTCAGAGCCAGCGACCCGCTGCTCAGCGTCCTCATGTGGGGGGGTGAACCACTCGGTAAGGGCTCCGGCCGCGGGGGCGGCGGCTGCCTCCCCCTCCCTGTCCTCCCTTCGTTCTCCTCCATCCCCCGCTCGGCTGCAGGGGGACACACTTTCCTCCCCTCCCCTCCCCCCGCCTGGCCCGCGCATCCCGGCCCCTGACGCGGCTGCAGATAACGGGGCCGGGAGGGCTGCGCCCGCCGTGCCGGACACGCACACTCCCGGAGCCGGGGGGGGCGCTCGGGGTTCCGTGGAAATGGGGCTGAGGGCTGCTTGGCATGGGGGAAGTTAGCGGGTGGCGCTTAACCCCTCCGATCCCCGGTGTGCTTGTGCGCCCCCACCCAGCAGCCCGAGCTGCGGAGGTGGGAGCTTGCGCCCACCCTGCGGGCACTGGTCCCCAGACAGATGGAGAGCCGGCCCGCCCGGGCGCAGTGGAAGCTGTTCCGAGGGAAGATAGAGAGATACCTGTCATTGCGCTGGGTGCGCTCTGTGGCTTCCTTGCGAGAAGGAAATACGAAGTCTAGAAAGACGGGGCTCATTTCTTCAGTTTAAGAGCAGTACTGTTTAACATAATGCGGTTTGGTTGAGGGGTGGGGTGCGGGGAAGAGATGCAAAGAAAAAGACAGCATAGTTATGGCAACTGTGTTTTGAGACTCTTCCCATCCTCCACCCCCTCCCCAAATTACCTTGTCCCTCTGTTGACCCGAGATGCCTAGCCAAGCGTTCTATCTCTCCTCCAACCCTTCCTCCTCTCTCTTCTCTCTTTCTTCCCTTTTTTCTCCTCCCTCTCTCATTTCCTCCTCTTTTTGCCCCCTCTCTTGCTCCTTCCTTTTTCTTTCCTATTTTCTCTTTCCTCTTACCCTACGTCCCCTTTCCTTCCTTTCCTCTCACCCTGTGCCCTTCCTCGAATAACTGGACCTAAGTCACGAGTTACAGAAGATCAGCACCGAGGGCTAAGGGTCTTGAGGTAATGGCACCGGGCATACCAGCATCCTGCTTGTTAAATATATGTTAAATTGTTATCCCCTCAGAAATGTCTCACTTAAAGAGGTAGCCAAGAGAGTTGAAGATGCATTGCTGTGGGCTATGCGGACTGCGGTTTGAGGGTCTGAAATAAGCCTCATAGTGATCTTAGAGTGTGAAACTCCTGCAGTTTTAATCTACTTAGAGTGGCTCAAGAAACATGATAGTAGCTGTTGACAGAGCCAGGCAAGTTTAAATGTCTGAATTTTGTCTCTGCTTTAACTGCAGTTAAATAATCATCTGAGGTGGAAAGTGAAAGAAAGCTCTCCAGAGTTTGAATTTGGGTTGATTTTATGTGCATTCCCTTGAGTTTAATTGAAGGAAGAAGTAAACAGCTTCTTTAGGTTGAAAGTCTTTTTAAATGACCCCAAATTACTGAGTTCCTAACTTGCTTTTTTAAGTCGAGGTTAGGGAAAGGTGATTTTATGTGTACAGATATAGGTCCTGAAGCATATATGAATCAATTTTGTGGAATTTAGTGTTAAAGAGGCCAAGCAGAACGATGACTTCTTTTTAGAAGCTGAGGGTTTAAGATGTGACTAAATCCATTTTACCTGACAACTTCTTTTGGTGTTACAGGTGCAAGATATCATAGCTTAGAATGGAAAATACACAAGTACACAAAAACTCTCGGGTTTCTTCAGGAAGAAGTTTCTCTGGGATGAATACACACACACGTATATGTTTTTAGTGGCTGGTCCCTTAATGCCATAGGGGTATCTTGGTGGCTGTGTGGGACTGTGAAGTTTCTACTCATAGTTTCTGAAGTCTATAGTCACATAGACTATATTGTGGTTTTGGTTGTTGGTTAATAGATTTCTCTTTCACAGAGTTTCTATTTTTATGGTTGAGATTGACAGTGTAAATTGGCTTAAGGTATTAAAATGGTAGTCATTTTACTTTGTACTTTGATGTTCTTTCATCTCTGAGTTGCCTTCAATTGGAAGGCAAGCTTAGAGAAACATTGTAACAATATATATATATATACACCAAAATTATTGTAACTGTATATATTGTTGCTTTATATTCACAGTGACTGCTTACATTTATTTTGTACTAAGAGAAACCAGCTTGAAAAAGTTTAACAAACTTTGGTTTTCTGGGAAGACAATTTAGCCTTAAGGCATTTGATTTTGGGGATCAAATATAGCCTGACATAATTGATGTATAATAAAATTAACTTTAGGCATACATTAAAAACAGTCAGATATTTGTATCTATTACATAATAAAAATTATTATGAACACTGACATTTATTCATATGTAATATCTTTATGTTGAAAACTTGTCATCGACATAGGAAGAGTTCTCGTGTTTATTTGGTCTTAGTTTTTTCTTTAATTGTATTAAAAATGAAAATAGGTGAACATACATTTGAAATAGAACCATGTCAGTGGAAAAAGGCCTGTATGATATTTTGTAGTAAAAGTAACTAGTTTTTATAAGCTAGTATGAATGAAATTGTGTAACATGAGACCTAAGTGGCAAAATGTCCACAGAATGAATAAAAGAGTAAGAATAGCACTGTTAGTTCGTGGGGGATAATGATTGGAAAAAATAGAGCAGGGAGAGACAAATGGGTCTAGAAGTAGTCTCTTTTCTTCTCTACTTTTCTAACATAATTGGTATTGATAGAAAATATATTGAGTTTAATTGTTTTAATCTGACTCTGTGTTTTAGCATCCTTGATCCATGTTAATTTGGACTGCTAAAGGAAAATGTATGTGGTTTCATTTTTCTTTTTTGCTCTCATCAGGCATCAAGTTATAGTAAAAAATTCAGTGTACCTGAGCCCTTATGCCATCTTTGCTAATTAGCTTTGCTGTCTTGCAAATGCCTGGGAAAGTCATTGTGCCTAAATACCCTTATTTATAAATAAGACAGTTGGGTTAGATTATTAATTAATAAATCCCTTTCCAGTTCTAAAATTCTTTGTATAATTTGATAGCGATAGGTATGTAGTATTATACTAGAAGCCATAGAATACAGATCCCAATCTGCCCTGCTATTTTGAAATGTTGCATGGTTATGTGATATAATCTTGCAACTGCAATATCATTAGAAGAATTTGTAAGTCATTTAAAAAAGTTGAAGAAAAGGAAGGAAAAACTTGGTAGATTAAGGTAGATGCAACATCAGATCAGGACAGTGATAGTATCTATTGACTTAGAAACAATTGGAAATGTAAATGGAAACATAAAAATTGGAATAAAAATATATTTAAACTTCATTTAGTAGCAAGAATAAACATGGCATTATATTGACTTCATATGTAACTGCTTTCTAATTTAAAGTATCCATCAGAGAAAAGATCAGTGCCAACTTTCATTTCAAGTATTTTAAGCCAAGAATGTAATTAAGAATTTAAAGGAAAACATAACTTGTATTTGTCTTATTAAATTAAATTTGATATTAAAGTAAAAATGATCTGGCAATTGAACTTTTGAAAATATATTTTAATAGCATGAGAGACATGTGAATGTAGCAATATGAATGAAATCCAGGAGCTGTCTTAAAAATATTTTAAACTATTTGTATGCAAGGTAATCTGAGGTACTTAGTAATTGGAATTTTTATGAGATTCTTGGAGATTAAACAAAGGGAAGAAATCCATTAGCATGGTAGATATTTTAAAATGTTGACATACAACTTAGAACAAATATAAACAATGACAATATTTAGAAATGGTTGATTATACAGGGAATTTTTATTTACTAATGTTTGCTTAATTTTTATCTACTAACTTTTCTGTTAGGTCCATTACCTTGCATTGGGCACTGTAAAAGTATGAGCAGAATGTGGAGATTTTAGAGCGTTGTAATAACCGGTAACTATAGTTTATCGGGGAAAAAACTATTCATTATGTGAGAGTTGGAAGGAAATAACACTGAAAAAAAATGGCTATTGCAAAAAATATTTGGACTGACTTAATAAAATCTTTACTGGAATCTGACCAACCAGAACCCTCAAATTGAACATTTCTGTACTCCACACCCCCCCTTGGAAAAAGTGGCACGATACAAAAGAAGTTCTTATGATGGATTTAGTTTAAAAAATAAAGTAAGAAAAAAAAATAAGAGTATGTCCTGATGTCATCTCACATTCTTTTCTATATTAACAATACAGAGAAAAATGAAAATTGGTGGTCTGAAATATTCTCATCTAATAATGATAAATAATAATAATAAAAATAAAATAATAATAATAATAATAATAATAACTGGCTTGCAAAGCATTTTATAAACATTATCTCATTTTATCCTCACAACATCCCTGGGAGGTAGGTGCTATTATTATTAGCCTCATTTTTAGGGGAGAATAGATGAAGAAACTGAGGCAGACAGTTTAATTGCCCAAAGTCATACAACTAGTAAGTGTCAAGCTGGATTTGAACTCAGGTCTTCCTTTCTCCTAGAGGGCTGCTTTATCAAAAGAAGATCTCATACAGAGTATTCATATGCTTAGATCGAGAAAAGTTTGCTTGGTATTTTCAGTGAGTGTCAGGCCTTCAATTGTTTCTGAAAATTCAACAAATCAGAATACTCTAACCCAAACCTTTCATTTGATTGAAGTTTTATGGCATGTTGTCACTTCCCCCAACACTCAGAATGCAAAGGAAAAAGGAAAATGATCACTGACAAGACTTTCCTTAGTTACTTCTCAAGACATTCTGGTTGGTGTAGTGGAAAGAACACAGGATTTGACATAAGAACACCTGGGTTGACTGGCTCTGCTGCTTGATTACCTGTGTGACCAGCCTTGGGCACGTAAGGCCCTTCATCTTTCTGAGCCTCTGGTTCCCTAACCTTTGACATGAGGAGGCTAAACTACATGACTTACAAGGTACTTTTCTGCTCATGATATTATGAAGTGATCATTATTAAAAATCAGCAGATGTCGTGCAGATTTGAGGATCCTTAGTGAATTTGGGAAAAGACTGACGTCCAAATCCAAATTCTACTGTAGGACATGTGATAGAACATTAACAATAATTTC